TGGTTCTCATGACCCCAGTCCCTCATTTCAGGGAGATATAAATTATAAGATACAAAGCAGCAAATCTATGCTGCATTTGCCGTTATTATATCGGCGTGAGGAGAAAGATCTAATTTACTGCTGTAGCTTAAACCTAGCTCCTTAATGTTGGAACATTCAGTCATTGGGTAACCTTGACAAATAACATGTTGTGGCAGCCTTCAGGCCCCAAACACATGTATCGGCACTTAGAAGGTGAGAACTCCATCTGCCATGTTGAGTTCCACACAGAAAGAGTGTTCAAATCAGAATGAATTTATTCTAGGCATCTCGCGGCCGTAGAGTTAGAGAAGGAGTAAACACACTTAAGGTCGTCCGCATAAATATAAAATTGAGAGTGTTTAACACTCAATTTCAGTTTATTTGGTGAGGAAAATAAGCAATGCCTTTGAAAACCCTATTGATTACATGCAGGTGCGTCTCACGTATGTACATGCACCTATAAAAATTACCACTCCTAACATAGTATTGACAAACAGTTAGAAGCATTGTTATGACAGTATAAGTCTGTGCTTAGAGTTCAGACTTGGAGGGAAGAGAGGGGGCGCATGTAATTATCCAAACGTTGTTTTTACATCTGAACGGAAGTGGCCTCCACGACTGACTGTAGAAGGTTGTTCCATCGTTGTATGGTACGCTGCGTGAAGAATTCAGAGCGGAGGTTTAGCTTGGACATCTTCGTGCGCAGCTTCATTTTTTGCCCACAGAGATGAGACGAGAGGTCACACTGAAACATGTCCTCAAAGCGTAATCCTTTCTAAAGACCGTTTATTATCTTGTAAACTAAGATAAGGTCCCCTTTTTGTTGCCTGTAATGCAGAGGGAATAAATTTAGGCATGAAAGACTGTCTATGTAAGAGTGGTTCTTTATACCTCTTACTAGCCTTGTTGCCCGACGCTGCACTTTCTCCAGACATGTTGTGTCCTTTGCCACCCATAGCCGCCACGCCTGTATGCCATATTCTAGGTGTGGTCAAACGAATGTACCGTACACATTGCCGAAGAGATATA